GAAAAAGAACATAGCTGTAATTCAATTAAAAATTTTAAAAAATAGGGGCACCTGGGTGGCTGAGTTAGTTAAGCATCCGACTCTTGGTTTCGGCTCAGGTCATGGTGTCACAGTTTCTTGACTTCGAGCCCCACGTCGGGCTCTGCACTTGATGGCGTGGAGCCTGCTTGGGACTTTTCTCTCTCTCTCCCCGTCTCTCTCTGCCCCCCACCAACTCGTGCTGTCTCAGTCGCCCTCAAAAATAAATAAATAAATGTTAAAAAAATTTTTTTAATAAAATGCACAGAGAGCATCGATCCTGTGTGGACAGCTCGATGAAATTTTACACGTATGCACTTCCCATGTACTACCACCCAGAGAAAGATGCAGAGCATTTTGGGTTTCGGAGAGATTCCCAGTCAATATGCCACCACAAGAGGTAACAACTCTTCTGACTTCTGGCACTACAAATGAGTCCTCATCTTCAACTTCACATACAAAAAGTCATACTCTCACGTGTCTGGCTTCCTTCACTCAGTGTCACGTCTGTGAGGTTCACCCATGCCGTAGGGTGTAGCGAGAGCCCAGTCTTTTTCAGGGCTGTGTGGTAGTCCATTGTAAGGCTGTGCTACAGTTCATGTACATATGTTCTTGTTAGGCACATTGACATTGTTTCCCATTTGGGGCAATCAGAAACAGTGCCACTGAGAACATTTTTATACATGCCTTTCGGTGCACATGTGACAAACAAAAGATACTGTACTAGTTTGGAATGCTCGGTCACATTTCCTCACGCTAAAAAAATACATTACAAGCCATAATGTCCAACAATGGACATACAGATATACTGACAGAGAAACAGCTTAACAGAGAGTTGGAATGGACAATGGAAATACTGTGAAAATAGGGCCACAGAGGCATGAAGTGCTGGCTCACACACCTTCACAGAGTGTGCTCCAACCCAGCATGCGTGGGAATCAGGAGTGTCCCCGCTAGGGGAAAAAAAGGTGTCTGTTTTGTTTCCTTGATGGATCTGGGCAGGAGGGCGGGGCGTGTAAGCGTGACTCTATAATCCTTCCCAAGTGAGAGGACATTGGTATGACTATAGTTCACCTCAACATTCCCTCTTCCTACCCGCTACAGTGTCTCAGGACAGGAATGCAAGTATGAGTGCCAGAAACAGGAAGGACTCCTAAGCAGGCAACTGTACCTCCGTTGTTCGACCTTGATGTGAGATTTCCTAAGGGACTGAATGGGAGGGCTGTGCCTTCACCCCATCTGGCTAAGCTGGGGCTGACGGTGAGTGCCGCTAGATTGCCTACTGGTCAGTTAGCCCACGAGTTCTGTCCGGGTGTGACCCTCCCCTCTATGGACGAGAGAAGACAGGGGAGGAGGGACTTGCCAGACCGTATTGCTGCCCGCAGTCTAGACCAGCACAGCAGCTACACATAACATCCCTTCCAACCGCAGAAAGTTGGGTATAGATGGAGAGAAATAGAAACAACAGCTGAGGGTAAAGGAATGGATAAATGAGTTACGTAATGAGGGAAACCCAGCATTACATTAACACCTCCCAAGAGGTGTGAGCAAGAGAGGACACTGCCTCTTAGCTCGATTATACCACATGCCTGAGAGAGGGAGCCATACGCTGTGACGCCATTCCTGCTTCTGGAACCTGATGAAACTAAATGGAACCAGGAGACCTGAGCGATCCTGGGAGACACTGTCATACAGCAGGATGATGGGCTAATTGTCACTGACTGAATGGGACTTTAATAGTGTGCCAGTATCTTTTCAGCTATGGTCCTGTTGCTACAAGGGACCTGTGGTCAAAGACCAGGGGGTGGCCAGTGGTAGACTTATTTGGTCTTTGTCCCTGGTTCCTGGCACAGACTTCCCCAAACCTTTGGGATCTCCTGAGGAATATGAGTGTTTCTGGTATGCTAATGAGATGACTTGGCCGAGGGGCCTAGATAGCTTCAGGTTGGGGGCTGGTGACCAGAAAGACCAAGCGATGATTAGAGTTGGCAACCTCAGCCTCCCTCCCTGACCTCTGGGGAGAGGCTCTGGAGGCTGACTTTAATCACCAATGGCCAGTGATGGAATCAAGCACACCTATATCATGAATCTTCCATAAAAGCTTCTAAACGACAGAGTTCACAGAGCTTCTGAAATGAACACACCGACATGCTCAGAGGGTGGTACATTCCAACCCCACGGTGACAGAGGCTCCTGCAACTGCGACCTTCACGCTCCCACACTCATGTGCCTCTTCATCTGGTTGCTCATGTGTGTCCTTATAATAAACCACAATAATAAGCATGGAATTTTCCTCAGTTCTAGGAGTCATTCTAGCAAATTATTGAACTTTGAGAGTACCTTCAACTTTGTAGCCAAGTGGAACAGAAGTGCAGGCGACGTGGGAACGAACAGTTGAGACGTGCCTGTGAAGTGAGGGCAATCTTGTAGGAAGCGTCCTCACACCTGTGGGTCTCATGCTAACTCCAGGTCAAGTGTCAGAATTGAAATAAATTGAATTGGGAGCACCTGGGTGGCTCAGTCGGTTAAGCGCCCAACTTTGGCTCAGGTCATGATCTCACATCCATGAGTTCGAGCCCCACATGGGGCTCTATGCTGACCGCTCAGAGCCTGGAACCTGCTTCGGATTCTGTGTCTCTCTTTCTCTGCCCCTCCCCCTCTCCTGCTCTGTTTCTGTCTCAAAAATAAATATTAAAAAAAAAAAAAAGACTGATGAAATGAATCGAATTGGTGACAGGGAATCAGAGCACTGGTTGAATGGAGGAAAAAACCCTCACGGCTCCACAAAGAGAAATTTAGAGGGAGAGCAAGCAAGTCTGTGCTTCCTCTCATCCAGGAGCAAAGGATAAGATAAGTGTAAGCATTTATACCATGTCCTTCTGTCTGCTACCAGCTGTTCATGGTCCTGTTAAAAAAGGAAGACAGAAGGCCCAAAATGAAGTCACTTAAGCCAAATACCAAGATCTTAATCCTTAACCTAAATGCAGCTTCAGCTTCTCCCAGAAATGTGACCTGTAATCAGTCAACCTGGAATTTCCTGCTCAGCACAAGTAGGTAAGCCACTGAAAGACCACTTCCTTTCCCCTTAGAAGGGCCACCTTGCTTAAAGCAATGCATTTTTTAACGAATAATTTCCTTTTTCCCCTTCCACTCTGCCTTTAAAATCCTTTCCTTTCTGCAGCTGGAAGAGTCTCTCTTTTTTTTTTTAATATTTATTTTTGAAAGACAGAGCACGAGCAGGGGAGGGGCAGAGAGAGACGGAGACACAAAATCCAAAGCAGGCTCCAGGCTCTGAGCTGTCAGCACAGAGCCCAACGTGGGGCTCGAACTCACAAACCGAACCACGAAGTCATGACCTGAGCTGAAGCCGGACACTTAAACTGACTGAGCCACCCAGGAGCCCCATGTCTCCTTTCTATTTACTAGCTGGGAGACTGCTCAATTCATGAACAGTTGAATAAAGTCAATTCGACCTTTTAATGTTCTCGGTTGAGGGCGCCTGGGTGGCTCAGTCATTTAGCATCTGACTTCAGCTCAGGTCATGATCTCATGGTTCATGAGTTCGAGCCCCACATCGGGTGAGGTGAGGTCCCACTTCGGCTGAGCAGAGCTCAAGCTCCACTTCTCTCTCTTTCCTTCTCTTTCTCTCTGCCCCTCTCTCAGTTGCACCCTCTCTCTCTCAAAAATAAAAATAAAATAAAATAAATTTTCTCAGTTGAATTGCTATTAACTAACAGTTAAGTCTCTGAGGGACGCTATGGCTACACTAGAAAACCAGGCTGGTGGTTTGGGTTTTCTGGCTGGTTGATTTTCAGTCCTTTGTGAGGATCACATAAAGCTGACAAATGTTAGAGATTCTCTCCCCAGAGTATTTCCATGCACGGGGAAATATAAACATTAACATGACACGTCAGTGCATGCAGAGACCCCCTGACGTCTTACAGACCCAGGTGTTCTCCTCCTTGCAAGAGACAGAGGCTGGGCAAACACGTTTTGAGCAATCACTTCACCAGCCCACAACGCCACTGCACTTATTTGTGAGCGTAAACCAGAGCGGACAAAGCTGCATCTAATCACATAGCATCCAGGGAACGAGAAGAGCGATGTCGTTTACTAGAAACTTGCTCCTCCAACTGAACCTGAGTGCCTGCAGGGCACCAGATCAAGCTGCAGCCTCAGGTCTGTGCTCCGAGAATGGCAATCAGCCGTCCTTTCTCCAGCCCTCACCCCCAGCACCGGCACTGCCCCCCTACATGAGAATTCCACATTTAGAGTCTTTGGAAGACGCCGCCTCTCTCCATAGAAGAGGAAGGACCTGCTGTCCCAACATCCTTCCAGTTAGACATGGCGTGAGGCTCTGCCAGGCAGGCGACCACATGCCGGACCTGGTGACAAAGAGAAGATGCAGCTGTGCAGAATGTACTTGCACAGGCGGCGTGAGTGGCAGTGTGTCACCCGGTCCCAAAAGCAGCAGCGATGTCAGTCCTAGCCGCAGGGGCCAGTGTCCTGCTTCAACGGAGGCAGCAGTGTGAGCAGTGACGTCTGTGCCCAGCAGCAGAGGCCGCAGTTCCTGTGTGAGACCCACCCTAACGTGCACTTGTGGACTCTGTTCCTGGCTGTGTAGCCAAAGCCTGTTCTACGATCTTCCCCAAAAGAATATTTTATATGCATATAAAATGTATGTGTGTGTGTGTGTGTGTGTGTGTGTGTGTGTGTGTGTGTGCACAGTACCTTTTGGCTAAGTTCGAACAAGCTTAGATCCCATTGTTTGCTCTGAAAAGTCAATCAGGGAAGTAGTTGCCGAGAGCAAGCATTCCGAGGTGTTCGTCACACTGAACCGCGAACCACTCCCTAGTCCTCCCACCCGACCATACCCCAGGATACGATAACACACCTCACAACACCACATCTCATACTGACAACGTTATGTCTTCCCTTTCCTCTCCAAAGATTAAAAAAAAAAAAAAAAAAAAAAACACACACACATTTAAATGTGGCTTTAATGCCCCTCCCCAGGCTGGCTGCTCTGATCGCTGACCTCACTGGCTCCAGATCTGGCTGAGCACCAGGCCTCTCCCCAGACCCACAGACTCAGAGTCCTCCGTGCAAGATCAAGGAATCGCTTATTTTAACGAGCCCTACAAGTGAGGCCAATGCACAGCCGTGTGGGAATCCTCATCTCCATTCTTGCTACTAAAAGTGTGATGTAAAGACCAGCAGCAGCGCCTTGTCCTAAACACAGAAACTTCTATCGTGTTTCCCAGATGCAGAAAACAGTGTGTCATATATCTTGCACACAACACACACACAGAAGGAGCGATCGGTGCAGAGCACCTCCCTAATCTGGAGGCAGTATCTTTACTAATGTAGCCTCAGACCACAGCAGCTCTGTGGCAGCAACAGCACAATCACCCTTCACACTGCCATTAGTGCCCCTGTGCTCCTCTCACAGCACTGCCCTCCCCCTCCCATCCCCACTCTCACACCAACTCCCCTGCACACCAAGGAGATGTCCATTTTCAAAAACCATCCTCGATTCACAGGTGCTATTTCCCAACCAAATATAAATCTAAGGAGACTCTGCTTCATAACTCCATGACTTGGAGCTGGAGCCAGCACCAGGATCACCAGGGCAAAGGGTGGGCAAGCAGAGGATGGAAACAGAACAAGAACTAATTTAAAATAAGAAATTATGGCATGCTTCCTGTCTGCTAGAATCTGCTCCTCTCAGAAGACTTCAGAAAAGATGGGAAGAACAATCAAGCCCGAGAAGGAGGGCAAGACCTGAATGAGCCTACAAATAACCTCTGGATACTACAGATTCCTATGCACAGGGCCACCCAGGGCCTTGTGCAGACGCTGACAGGCCAAACATCTCCTTCTGCTGTCACCGAGGAGACACCCACAGGTGAATTAGACCAGAACTCCCACACAAAAAAGAGAACGGGCCTAATCCTCTACAGAAACAAAGAAACAACGAATAAACACCCAGACGCGGGACTGAGGCCCGACCCAGGCCTGAGCCTCAGCTGACACGGCCATACAATGTCTTGTTGCCCATAGTCCTGGAGGCAGGACAAGGTCTGGGCAATATCCAGATATCCAGGTGATATCCTGAGTGATCACAGTCCCGGAAAGGCAGGTGCTACTGGAGGGACAAAGACAAAAGCGCAAAGAGGTTCCCCAGCTGAGCAGTGACCATGTCACATCCATGTTGTACCAACTGGGCATGAGGCTCCACCACGCTAGGCCCCTCACAGCTTTCTCCTGTCCCCACCCACAGCAGACTCGGCACACCAAACCTGCAGCTTCTGGGAGGTTCTCAGGGTTTCCATTTCTTTCCCCTCTCAAACTTTAGGAATCTTCTTCTTTAACTAACTGATCAACTCCTCATGACCAGAACTGGAAAAACAAATTCACATCCAGAGCCCTACGTTCAACAAGGAAGTAAGAAGTTGTAGCTCAGTGAAACATAAAGTAAAGACAGGGATGGAGGTGGCCCACTCTCCCTCTACTGGATCATGAAAGCAGATGAGGAAAGAGAACCCAGGTCAGTGTAGGGTGGGGTCATGGAGGCGGGGGGCAGTCTCCCCACCTCCTCACATTATGGTAATAGGAACGAGGACACATGCCGAAGCCCTTTGTAGAAAGAGATATCAGGGGCATTGGTCACAAAGTGGGAAAGTGAACAAATCTTGCATCACTCAGTCCCCCACGAGGCAGCTGGCTCACACTGCGGAAGAAAATAATCATGAACAAATTCAGGTTAGTCATATAAGTGTTGACGTTCTCAATAGCCTACCACATGCTCAAGATATCCTACTCAAAGAATCCCCATTTCCCAGGCATAGCCCCTTTTCCCTCTCCCCTCCCTACTTCAGGCCCTTCAGGGTCTCACCTTCAGTAGTGGAGAGAGCCCTGCGCACTGTCACTACCTGCGTTAGAACAAACAGAACTGGTCAGAGCCCCCAGGAGATGAGACTAAAGGAGTAGCTTTGGGGTGGGTGAGCTCCCCACGGGGTCCTGTCTACACTATCCCAGGGTCTCAGGGATCACCCCCTCCATACTTACATGCAGACTGAGCATAACCCCTTTCTCTTCCACCTATGGAAAGAAAATATCACATGAGATGCCACGGAGGAGGCAGAGCCCGAGATCCTAGATGAAACTGATAACCTGGACCACAGGGAAATTTCCAGAACTGTAACTACAGACCTATGGCAGGATCAGGGGGACATGAAGAAAAGAGATGTCAGGGCTAGACCAACAATTCTCCTGGAGTCTGTCCTCAGCAAGGACCTTATTCTCTGATCTGTGGCTGCTGGAAATCAGATCCTATCACCACATTCATCAAGGTGATAAGTTTGCCCTTCACTCTCACAGAGCTTTACTCCAGAGTGAATGTAGCAATGAGCTGCACAGTGGACAAGCACATGTGCATGGATGGCACTTCCCATAAACAAGGCAGGACGAACTTCTACCTGGACTTGAAACACTACAGAAAGACAAGAAAACTCAGAGCACTCCCCTTCCGTACCTTGGCTCTACCTCCTCCATATGACAGCTCCAACCACCACAGCACTGATGACCACAAAGGAAACCAGACCAGCAACAATGCCCACCATGGGAATGCTGCGCTGAGGAGGGGACTCTGGGAAGAGAGGATAAAGTGAGGGCCTTGACTCCGAGGTCTCAGCCTCAACCCTGCTGAATTTTTCCAGAAGGGCTCCTGAGTTCTCCAAGTTTGGCTCCATACCCAGGTCTCCCCCTGTCCTTACCCCATTTCAGCATGAGGGGCTTGGGCAACCCCCCATGCTGCACATGGCACGTGTATCTCTGCTCCTCTCCAGAAGGCACCACCACAGCCACCCACTTCTGGAAGGTCCCATCTCCCCCAGGCCTAGTGTCCACAAACTCCGTGTCCTGGATCAGGTCCTCCCCATCACGCTGCCAGGTTAGGGTGATCTCCGCAGGATAGAAACCCAGGGCCCAGCACTTCAGGGTGACATCATGGTCAGAAGTGGGGTAGTGGGTGATGTGTGTCTTCGGGGGGTCTGAAGAGAAGGGTCAGAAAATTAAGGAATTTTACAACTGTCTCGGGCCACTGAGGCAATTCTCATGTGGCCATCTTGAGAATGGACAAGAGAGCTGGAATTGGGGAAGGGAGCAAAAACCCAGACACCAGCCTAGACACATAATCTCTTCTTGTTTGAAAAGTTCTAGAATTAGGGTGAGACGGCCCACTGTAGAAGGCAGGTTTCTGAGAGCAGAAAAGAAAGGGATTTCTGGTCCGGACCTGGCTGGAGGCCAAATGACTCAGACTAGGTGAAGTCAGATATCCCAAACACATGGGTGTGGGGCAGAGAACAAAGCCTGAGAAAATCCCCCAAGGTTCCCAAAGCCACCGTGAGCCAAAAGGAAACGCTGATCAATTATTTCAGAAATGGTCTCCTCCTCCATCCCTGAAGAGACTCTATCCTTCAACAGTCTCTAGGAGAAAGACAGACCCTTTGGGGGTCTCTCTGGGACCGGATCTGAAAACCCGAGCAGTCTCCCGACACAGGGGAGGGCCATATACTGCTGTGGATCCCAGTTCTTCCTATCCTCTTAGGAGGCCTCAGCTGGAGGGGAAATCGTGGGAAGCCCCGCGGCCCCTGGTACCTGTGCGCAGCAGCGTCTTGTTCCCCCTCTCCAAGTACTTCCGGAGCCACTCTACGCATGTGACCTGCAGGTCGTTCCTTTGATGCTCGGCTGCTCCGGCAGCCTCCCACTTGCGGCGGGTGACCTGCGCCGCCGTGTCCGCCGCGGTCCAAGAGCGCAGGTCCTCGTTCAGAGCGATGTAATCCTCGCCGTCAGAGGCGAACTGCCAGTATCCTCGGAGGAGGCGCCAATCGGGCCCCACTTCGCAGGAAGACAGCCACTGGATGGTGTGAGACCCTGGCCCCGCCCCCGAGGTCAGCTCCGCCCTGGAGCCCCGCCCCCTCCCCCACCCCGAACCCCAGGGCTTAAAGCCAAAACTGAATGGCGGGTAAAAGTGCCCGCGCGCTTTTCCCGCGTTTGGAGACGGGCGGGTCCCGCAGCCTCAGGGTGGTGCTCGGACCCAAAGACTCGGGCAACCCCGGGGATGGGGTCGTGACCCGGACCCGGGTCCGCGTCACTCACCGGCTTCGCTCTGGTTGTAGTAGCCGCGCAGCGTGTTCAGGCTCAGTCGGAAAAGTCTGTGCGGTGTCCTTGGCGCCCCGCGTCTCCTGCTCCCAATACTCCGGCGCCTCCTGCTTCAACCACTGCACGCGTGGCTCCATCCTCGGACTCGAGGCGTCGCTGTCGAACCGCGCGAACTGTGTGTCGTCCACGTAGCCGACTTCCAAGTACCGGGGCTCCCCGAGGCTGGGCCGGGACACCGCGGTGCCGAAATACATCAAGGAATGGGAGCCTACGGGCGCGGAGGGTTTGAGACCCCGCCCGACCCCGCTCCCGGCGCGAGGCCCGGATCCCAGTTGGAAGCGGCCAGGAGGGCAGGGGGTGGGGGGTCCGAGTAGGGGAGAGCAGGGAGGAGTCTGGGGACTCTGGGGACGGGGAGGACTGCCAGGGTGGGTGGGATTCTGGGGCGGGGGCGACAGGCACTTTCCCTAGGGCCCCGCGTTCCCGCCGGACGGTCCCCTCGCTCCTGCCCCACAGATGCCCTTTCTTCCCGACCCCGCACTCACCCGCGCAGGTCTGGGTCACGGCCAGGGCCCCCGACAGCAGCAAGACGAGGGTTCGGGGCATCACGACCCGCATCCTCAGGGTCTGGAGAATAGAAGTCCCAGCGGGTCCGTGGCCAGGACAGGCCAGGGACCGCGGTGACGCTGATTGGCTTCTCTAGACACAGGACAAGCAATGGGAGTGCGAACTGGGGCCGCGTCATGAGTATCCAGGCAAGAAGACCTGGCACAGGTTGAGAGAAGTGAAATGAGCGCGGAGTAGTGGGGAACTGGGCTTTCCCGCCCCAGACCTATCTCAAGCCCGGGACTTTCAAAGCCAGTCTTTCCCAGGGACCCGCGACTTTGCCCGGATTCCTCTCACCTACACAGAGCGCTCTTTGTCACCCTGAGGCCTGGCCCAGGGTCTTTCTGAGGAAACCAGGATAAGACACCAGGTTGGGATCGGCCCCGTTTTGTCCCTTTCCCTTCTGAAATCCCTCGACTTGTGCTGAGCTCCTAGTCCTTACCTCTCCTCCAGACTCCTAAAAGAAAACTCACCCCCAGGAAACTGGATGCCAGAGAGTGAGCTTGCCTGGGAATGGAGGTGGAGGGACATGGATTTTCTCTTTACACCTGAAGTTGTGGTTCAAAGCTCCAGCTAGAGATTCTCATAGAGATCAGTTTCTTTTCTTTTCTTTTTAATGTTTATTTATTTTGAGAGAAAGAGAGAAAGCAGGGAAGGGGCAGAGAGAAGAAGAGAAAGAATCCCAAGAAGGCTCTGTGCTGCCAGGGCAGAGCCCCATTCAGGGCTCGAACCCACAAACCCTGAGATCATGACCTGAGTTGAACCCAAGAATCCAACACTTAACCGTCGGAGCCCCCCAGGTGCCCAAGAATCTAATCTATAAAGTGATTTTGCCCCTTCCTACAGAAATATCTAAACAGCATTGCAATCAAGACTCAAAAAGCTTCTAAGTTGTACTTTCTCAGCTCATCTGTGTGTCCCAGCATTTTTTTTTTTTTTTTTTTTTTTTGGTGGTTGAAGTGAGAAGAAATTCAGTTTACATTTAATGACACAGGTAGATTAAAAGTAAAAGGATGTTTTTATATAGTAATACAGGTTATATGGAAACCAAAATTAAAAGCACAATATTATTTATAGTTATTATAAAGAAAATGAAATACTGTGTATACATTTAACAAAACACATAAAGGATCTGAATGCTTAAAATTACAAAATGCAATTAAAAGAAATCAAATTAAATAGAGACATAATATGTTCATGTACTAGAAGAGTCTACTTAGTAGAGATGTCGATTCCCTCCAAATTGATCTATAGGTTTAATGTAATTTTTGCCCCAGCAAAGTTAGACCAGCTTATTCTAAAATTTATACAGAAAGGCATAGTACCTAATTAGCTAATGCACTCTTGAAAAAGAGGGATAAAGTGAGAAAAGTCACTCTATTTGATGTTGTCTTATAATATAGCTGCAGTAATTAAAACAGATTTAAATTAACTGGCAGATAAATAGACATACAGATCAATGGAACAGAAGAGAAAACCCAGGAATAGCGCCCCCACACACACAAATATGCTCAGCTGACTTTTGAAAAAGGCTCAAAAGCAATTCAATGCAAAAGGATAGTCTTTTCAATAAATGATGCCAGAGCAATTGGACATCCATAGACAAAAACACATAAGCAAACAAAAAAACCTAAATCTCTCACCTTATAATATGAATTTAAAATGTATAATAGAACTTATATATAACATGTAAAATTATAAAATTATTAGAAAAATAGAGGGGCGCCTGGGTGGCTCAGTTAGTTAGACGACCGTCTTCAGCTCAGATCGTGATCTCACAGTTTGTTAGTTTGAGCCCCATGTCGGGATCTGTGCTGACAGCTCAGAGCCTGGAGCCTGCTTCAGATTCTGTGTCTTCCCCTCTCTCTGCCCCTCCCCTGCTCACACTCTGTCTCTCTGTCTCTCAATAATAAATAAATGTTAAAAAAAATTTTTTTAATCAATCAAAAATAAAAAGAATCTTTGAAATATATTTTGACTGTGGTTATAGATAAACAAACACACATATATGATAAAATTCCATAGGATTAAGCAATTCTGGCAGCGGCAGTCCGCGCGGCCAAAGCAACATGGTCTAAGTCAGAGTGGTGGTCATGGTCCTGGAGGTGGCAAGAAGGATGACAAGGAGAAGAAAAAGAAATACGAACCTCCTGTACCAACTAGAGTGGGGGAAAAGAAGAAGTATACAAAGGGACCAGATGCTGCCAGCAAGCTGCCACTGGTGACATGTCACACTCAGTGCTGGCTAAAATTACTGAAGTTAGGATTAAAGACTATCTTCTCATGGAGGAAGAATTCATTAGAAATCAGGAACAAATGAAGCCTTTAGGAAGAAAAGCAAGAGGAGGAAAGATCAAAGGTGGATGATCTGAGGGGGACCCCAGTGTCAGTAGGAAGCTTGGAAGAGATCACTGATGACAATCATGCCATCGTGTCCACATCTGTGGGCTCAGAACACTACGTCAGCACTCTCTCCTTTGTAGACAAGGATCTGCTGGGAGCAGGCTGCTTGGTCCTGCTCAACCACAAGGTGATGCCGTCATATGGGTGCTCACAGATGACACAGATCTCTTGGTCACAGTGATGAAGGTAGGAAAGTCACCCCCAGGAAACCTATGCTGATGTTGGGGGGTTGGACAACCAAATCCAGGAAATTAAAGAATCTGTGAAGCTTCCTCTCACTCATCCTGAATATTATGAAGAGATGGATATAAAGCCCCCAAGGGTGTCATTCTGTACGTCCCACCTGACACAGGTAAAACCTTATTAGCCAAAGCAGTAGCAAACCTAACCTCAGCCACTTTCTTAAGTGGTTGGCTCTAGGGGTGCCTGGGTGTTTCAGTCAGTTTAAGTGTCTGATTTTGGCTCAGGTCATGATCTCACGGTTCATGAGTTAGAGCCCCACACTGGGCTCTGTGCTCACAGCCTGGAGCCTGCTTTGATTCTGTGTCTCCCCCTCTTTCTGCCCCTCCCCCACTCGCACTCTGTTTCTCTCTCAAAAATAAATAAATATTAAAAAATTTGTTTGTAATAATTTTTTTTAAAAAAGAGTGCTTTGGGGGCGCCTGGGTGGCTCAGTCTGTTGGGCGTCCAACTTCAGCTCAGGTCACGATCTCGAGCCCCGCGTCGGGCTCTGGGCTGATGGCTCAGAGCCTGGAGCCTGCTTCCGATTCTGTGTCTCCCTCTCTCTCTGACCCTCCCCTGTTCATGCTCTGTCTCTCTCTGTCACAAACATAAATAAACCTTAAAAAAAATTTTTTTTAAAGAGTGGTTGGCTCTGAACTTATTCAGAAGTACCTAGGTGATGGGCCCAAACTCCTTCAGGAATTGTTTCAAGTTGCAGAAGAACATGCACCATCCGTCGTATTTATTAATGAAATTGATGCCATTGGAACAAAAAGATAGACTCAAATTCCGGTGGTGAGAGAGAAATTCAACGAATAATGTTGAAACTGTTGAACCAGTTAGATGGATTTGTTTCAAGGGGTGATGTGAAAGTTATCATGGCCACAAACTGAATAGAAACTTTGGACCCAGCACTTATCAGACCAGGCCACATTGACAGGAAAATTGAATTCCCCTGCCAGATGAAAAGACTAAGAAGCCCATCTTTCAGATCCATACAAGCAGGATGACCCTGACCAATGATGTAACCCTGAACAACTTGATCATGGCTAAAGATGACCTCTCTGGGACCAACATCAAGGCAATCCATACAGAAGCTGGGCTGTAGGATGAAAGTAACAAATGAAGACTTCAAAAAATCTAAAGAAAACGTTCTTTATAAAAAACAAGAAGGCACCCCTGCGGGGGCTCTACGTGTAGCAACCACATTTGCCTTCCAGGAAATGGTTGGGAATGTGCTGACTCCTCGGAGGGATGGGGAAGTTGCCCAGAGGAACCCATGTTCTAGTTGATCTTTCTTAGCAAAACCTCCCATATACCTTTTTAAGCGTGATGTGTAGGAACGTGATGTGTGGTGTGTTGGCCACATGCAGTGCTCTACTCCCCAAAAAGCGAGCTCCTTCTCAGACAAAAAAAAAAAAAAAAGGAAAAGGAAAAGAAAAGCAAAGAAAAAGAATTAAATGCAGTTAAAACCTTGAATTGCGAGTAACTCATTCTGTGAGTGTTCCGCAAGACAAGCAAACTTTCTAATAAATTTTAACTCGATAAATGAGCAATGTCTTGCAATACGAGCAGTATGTGACACTGAACATCGCATGGTCACAACTGAGCCAATGGTTCTCTGTCTCTCTCTTCATTGGATTGTGGGTGATCATCTCCCATGGCAGATGCTCGGTCTCAGGCCACGGTGTTTGGCAGAAATCAGTGATTTTTCAGAACGTTGGAAGGTGCCCACAACTGGCACTAGTGTATTTTTTGTCACTTCAAAGCACCTAGTCCTTTGCTTTTCCAGATAAGAGTAAACTTAGGAATGCTTTGCTTCATTCTAGGTCAGGCTGCCTGCAGATATAGACCCTTTCCCCTGCTGCCTCACTGCCAGTTACATTATATACGGTATATGCCAAGGGTTTATTAATATTGTACTGTAGTCAACATCCATGTGAGTGTATACAATGACCCCCTTGCAGAAAAGGATTCCTTTGAGCCAGTAGATAGCAGTAATTCCCTTAGTGATAGTGAAAGTCATCTGATACAATCACCTTCCTCTCTCTTGTCTCCCTCACACCAGCCACGAAGGTTTTCAAAGGTAAGTGCAGGTTAATTTGTTTATTTTTCTTTATATTTTGTATTTTCTTTATTATTTTATATTGTGTTACAGAATTGTAATCATTTTTATATGACTATTTTGGGGATGTGGAATGAATCATCTGAGTTTCCATGATCTCTTGCGGGGAAATTTGCTTTGATATACAAGTGCTTTGGATTATAAGCATGTTTCTGGAACGAATTATGCTCACAAACCAAGGTTTTGCTGTACATACACAGATGAATGCAAGTAAAACTGGGGAAATCTGAGTAAGAACAGTGGATTGTATCAATGTTAACATCCTGGTTTTAATATTGACTACAGTTTTGTGAGGTGTTACCATTGAGGAAAACTGAGTAAAAGTTGCTCAGGACCTATATTATGTCTCATAATTGCACGTGAATCT